CTGTGCGATCCCGCGTTTGTGGGGTGCAGTCGTCATTGATGTCCTGCTTCTCCTTTGTCCACTTGCCAAAATTGTGAGTTCTTTAGGAGATGCGTTTTCTGGCCATTGGCTTCTTGACGTGGCTGATGGCTGCAGTGGGGGCTGCTCTTCTCACGTTGATGAGCTTTGATGTCTTGGCAATGCAAGGCGCGGTCGTCGGTGCGGCTCAGGAGTTTATGGTCTACTGTTTGGGGCTTTCCCCAAAGTAGGGGTACCTTTCTGGGGGTGCCTATCGTAAAGACAAACGTATCATGGGGTCTATATTGGCGTCTCTCTATTTTTGCAAGCTACCATCTAATTGGTTCGAAAAGGTCATAGCAGGTCCCAAGAAGCATCAAGAATCAAGCTCCTTTCTAAGTTTCTTCGGGTCAGAGGTTCTTTGCTCGACTATTCCTTCAGCAAGGGGCACCTCACGTATTTGGCCGGGGACAGGGCTGTGCAGAACACCCTCTTGCTTCATGATGACGCAGATTCCATCACCTTTTATTTCGAGGCCGGGACTTCTACAGAGTCTGTCAAGTTGACGATTCAACATCCACTGCTAAATGACTCAAATGCCGTTCTCCTGTATTCGCTCAATGGGGAAGGTGAAGCTTCAGAAGCTGCTGATGCGTCCAGCAAGACACCGGCAATGGAATATCAATTGGATCTTCCAGCAGGCCCGCTATACGGTCGCATCACAGTTGAAACTTCCTCAACGGTCTGCTTCTTCACGCAGTGTGTAATGTCAGCTACGACCTACATGTTCCACATCATTCGAGTTGGCGAGATGATATCGTTTTCATTGAAGGGCCAGGTGAGTGGCACGGACTCCCCGAAAGACTTTGTCGAGCAAAGGAGTTGGCTTTATCAACAGCGCTGTCCCGAGTGGTACATCCCGGAGTTCCAGCCTCATAGCCTTGCTAGCCTTGAAGTCACACTTCGTCCTGTTTGCTTTGCTCCACTCCGAGAGTGGTCAGGCAGATCTTCAAGACTAGTGCAATATGCCCAGGAGTGTCAGTGCGGTGAGGAGAGCACTGAAGGCACCTGGCTTGGCAACGAGTGCTGGAAGGAAGTTGATCTCCAGCTTTTGAACGCCTCCAGCGGCTCAACCTGTCTCTTCCTGCGGAAGACAAGTGTGCCCGTCATGGATGAGCTGAAGGTCCCTGGTAGGAAGGGGCGTCTTTGTGGCCACGATGTGGTGGAGTGGCTTCAGGATGTGAAAGTCAGTGGGAAGTTTGCCAAGCTTGTGTCGGACCTTGAATCCTCAGAAGCACCAGAGAAACCCGATGCCCGCTTGGCTACAGAGCCCAAGGCAGCCAAAGAATCTGGATTGCTGTGAAAGGAACTGAAATCAAGTTACTATACTAAGGAAACTTTATCATATACGATATACCCATATCATGGCAACCCTAAACCCCAAACCCTACGTACAACTATAAACCCACATTATGGTTCAAGCTCCTGAGCAGCAACCCAGGAATGGGCTTTCGAGCTGAGAAACGGCACTGAACATCAAATTTCCAACACCTTCGCTTTCTCCGCGCCGATTGAATCTTTCTTGCACATCACTCAACTGATTATCTCAACAACGCAGGATGAAACTGATTCCGAGTCACAGCTGGTTCCCCTGAAGATGGTGCCACATCCGCCGCCCATCAAGGTTCTTCTAAAGAACGGTTCGCTACTTCCAGAATCTGGGTTGCCGTTAAGGAACTAGAAGTAAGTTACCAGAATATGGGTAGATAGTAGAGAAGTAGGGTTTCCTTAGTGACTTACTTCAAGTTTCTCAACAGCTAACCAGGAGTTTGCCATGGACAAGAAGCGCAGCGAATATTTTGCATGCATGGTGCGCGACTTGAAACCTGTGCAAGCTCAAGTCGTGGACAAACGGTTCCAAGTGACTTACTGGTGGTTAGTAGGGAATAAGGGAATATACTCCCCATATTACTTTCCTTATTTCCTGCTTACCCCCAGTAAGGTGAAGGAGCAGCTAGTTCTTCTTGAAGACGATTGTTTTGGGTCCCCAGCCTTCCAAAAGAGGCTTTCAGCCGTGCGCAATGAGAGTTGTGACTATTGTGAGAAATACCAACCTTGGAGTGACAGCTATGACATCGCGGTAACTCTCTCAATGCAAGGATGCTTGAATGAGGCGATCGATGTGGGCAACTTCGAAGTCTTTAAGGATGTAGCTTCACTGGTTCCTCAAGAGCTGCAGAAAGAGAACCAGCACAGCTGTGCTTTTCTGCAGAGAGCAATTCGTGTGGATCAAACAGGCATGCTCCCAGGGCTCTTGACCATCTTCGGTCCTAACTGTGAAGGATGCAAAGAGACTCCTTTAGGAGTTGCCGCAGCGGCGGGCAATCTGAAAGCCTTGGATTTGCTTCTCAATGTCTCGAGCTTGACTGATGATGAAGATGAGAGTGGTCGCACAGCCCTCTTCCGTGCAACCCAAACGTGCAATGTGGATGCTGTAGGACGTTTGATCAACAAGAGCGACTTCAACCATGGGATGCCCACAAAGAAGGGAGGCAAGTGCCAGGCTCAGCAGCCTTTACAGCGTTTGTTGCAGTCCAAGTTAGCCATACATTGTTGGAGGTTTGGGTCCCACACATGTCCTGCCAACAATTGCTTGGAAACCAAGCGTAGAAGTCCAAAGCTCCGATTAGAGCCGAAGGTCCCAGCAATGCCCTTGCATTTCCCAGGTGCTTGATCACCCCGCTGCTATGGCTTGTGGGCCGTGGGAAGCTTGCAGGAGCTGCATGTGAGGATCGCTGGAAGGCTTTGGTTCAGATGTTGTTGAAGGGCGGGGCCAAATTCACTGTGGCAGATGCTCGTCGCAGGCAAGAGGTGGCGGTGGTGCTTTGATAGATCCGTTTCCGTTTTTTGAAAGACAAATTCCATGATATTTCCCAAGCTTTTGCTTCTGACTTCAAGAACCATCCGCAAGCTCTTGTAGCCCAGGGCTGTCCGCCTTCAAAGACACCGAACACCGCCTTGGTCGAGGCATAGCTGCATGGCCGCGTGAACATGTGGGGATTTCCCAAAGTTAGGTGTACTTTTTTGGGAGTCCCCATAAAAAAGGGTAAGAGTATTTTGGGGTCTTTCTGTTGGTATTTAGGGACATTACCATGTCACTTTCTTTGGGGATACTATGGTCATCTATGGTCCCCAATATAGGATGATTACATCGTTCTTGTGGGTATGTTCTTCTACGGAGCACGAAGAGCGGCAGGGAGCTGTACACATTTACAACAGAATGTATGCAGGGTCCTCAGATGTTTTGAAGGAAGGGAGGCCCGAAACCATAAGCAGCCTTAATGTATTAAAAAAGTATCAATACCCATGGTTCTTGCAACGGCGATCCTGTGTGAGCTGGGCCATGAGGTGCCCAGCCTTCAAGACCTATGAGCGGAGGAGACCACCATGAGGTGCAAGGTTCGAGCAGTGGCTCTATTCCCTAGCATTCCCTCGAGCATCATCCAAGGTTTCATACAGTCCCTTCCTTCATGAATCTTCAGTGCCAAGTTTCTCTTACATGACGCAGCTCTGCTACCCTTTGCGGTCGAATTCAGCGCAGCCGGCTGCCAGCCAAGAAGCCGATCTAAGACGTGCAGCCACAGACCGCAGGGTGGTAGTAAGCAAGCGTAGTCGGTACTTTCGAAGAAGGCCCTGAAGTGTCCAAGCCTGCGTCCAAGCATGTATTGCGAAGCCTGCAACCAATCAAGTGCAGAAAAGTCAGCCCTGATTTCAAACACCTTACGTACCACTCTCAAATCGCGATAGGAAGAACCGTGGCAGACGTTGAAGTATCACCCGAACATATCCTCCTGTGCTTTCTTCGTCGCATCAGGCCATCCAGTATGAAAACATGGAAGCTGTGCCACTGCTTCTGGAGCTCGGTGCTGATGTCAACCAGAAAGGCCAGAGTGGCTGAAAAGCTTGACTGGGTGGGATTTGGAGGGGGTGCTTTCTGTCCTCTCTGCACAGGTCGTACTTGTAGTCTGCATCGGTGCAATGATCGGCGTCTAGTATAGCGTTATCTTCCAAACTTGCATGCAAGGAAGTTCTTTAGCACAGGGGGTTCTACAGCACATCTGAAGACATTCTTGCAAGCAGTTTTTTTGTTTTTTCTGCTGCTGCTGCTGCTGCTGCTGCTGCTCTCTGACTGCCGTTAAAAAGTCAACTCGTGAGTTTGCAGCTGGATCATATTCAGCTGTCGGTCAGAGCACCCACGAGTTCATGATCATCCGCAAGTTTTAAAGACCCGCAGCCCAAGCGATGGCAGACATGCAGGTCGAACTAGCAGCAATTCAGTGAACCAGCCGTTGATGGTGCTTGCTGAAAAGTTGCCTGGCAGATCTGAGCTCGCGACAACTGTAAT